GGGTCACCAATTCTTGAGCATCACCCATTTTATGCAGTGAGAAAAAAACACCAGAACATCCCATATTGGTTCCCACATAGCTTTCACAACACCTAGGTGGGACCCGAAATACCCCCAGTTTTCTGTGTCCCTTATTTGAGTGTTGTTTGGGATGCATCTTTTCTATTTGATATAATACTCAAGTAGTAAAAGGAGAGAGCTTTATTAATATATAAAGGTGGGTGTGGGATTTTTTAGTCGTCTCAACAAGAAGCTAGTGTTGGTGACACTTTCCATTGGCTAGTTTGAAGGTTTGTATTGGTTAGTAGCAAGTGCTATGGGGAGGCAGCCTTGCTGTGACAAACTTGGAGTGAAGAAAGGTCCATGGACTGCTGAGGAAGACAAAAAGCTGATAAGCTTCATTCTCACCAATGGCCAGTGCTGTTGGCGTGCTGTTCCCAAGCTTGCTGGTCTTCGCCGTTGTGGTAAGAGTTGTCGTCTTCGCTGGACTAATTATCTGAGGCCTGACTTGAAGAGAGGCCTCCTCACACAGGCAGAAGAACAGCTTGTCATTGATCTCCATGCCCGTCTTGGCAACAGGTTATTAATATTTCTTCTTTTTTCACTACCTCATCTTCAACCAACCACACTGCCTTCTATAAATTTCAACAATAAATATTATATGCTCCACTACCCTATCATCTCTACTGATATCCACGTAACACAGGTAACTACATTTTCAAAACGCCAAGAGGTATACTAATAACTTGTTGCTTTAGCTTGGTTTCTCCTTCAAACAAGTTTAAAGTCCTAGTCTTTACATGCATATATGTACAAGAAGGTACTTGCATTTGAAATCATGTTTTTAAAGCTGGATAACTTAAGCAAAGTGATTAAAGGTTTATTATTAGTATACAGACGTACAAGGAGGACACTGTAAAACTGCATGCGTGCGTGAAGTGTTTCTACAAGGTTACAAATTATTGTGTGTGATGTATTTATAATAATAGTTTATAGTTTATACTAAAAGTGCATAAAATTTAAAGTCATAAAAGCATGATAAATTGATAGCACGCAAAAGTCAATAAACTGAAGATGATTGTTGAGTAAAGAATAATGACGTATTCTTATAAGTTAGGAGATAATTCCTCACTTGAAGCTATCTATGCGGTTTGTTTGATATGGGTACTTACCTTTGGGACTAAGAAAGAGCCCTACAATGTTGGGACTTAACTTACGGAAGGGGTCATGAGTTTTGTTGGACATGCGAGTGATTGTTGTGGTTTGTCTGTCTCAGGTGGTCCAAGATTGCTGCCAGGTTACCAGGAAGAACAGACAACGAGATTAAGAATCACTGGAACACACACATCAAGAAAAAGCTCCTTAAGATGGGTATTGATCCTGTTACTCATGAACCTCTCAACAAAGAAGCCACATCACAGAATAGTTCTTTCCCTGCAGAGCATCTGTCACAAGTTGATAATATTAATATCCATCAGGTTAAGGAAAATGGTATGGCTCTCAACTCGGAAGAGAATTCCACCTCATCACCAGCTGAAAATTCTTCCGGGGAGGAATCCCTTTTGATGGATAGCATTTGCAGTGATGTGTCTTTGATGAACAGCATGTGGCTAGATGAAACTCCTCTTATGGACACGTTATGGGACAGTACGCCTAATTTAGAGAATGAAAACTTGCCAATGTGGGAGGACAATTGCCCTTGGTTGTTGGACTGCCAGGACTTTGGTATTCATGATTTTGATTTTAATTGTTCCAGCGAGATTGAATCAAATGCACTGCAAACTCTAGACTTGGACAGAAAAGAACTTTAGAATGCAGTCCATCTAGTAAAGTAAGTTATTCTTAAAATGGGAATAAATCCTCTGGTGTCCATGTCACGTTCAAATTTTGTGTTTATATCTTTCTTGATGAATGATAAGGTCTGCTTGATTATCTGTCAAGGATGTGATGCACAAAAGATTTGAACGTGAAACTCTTATGTTAAAGTTTGACACAAGAGGATTAAAAAAACACCATGGACTTAAACTTAGGTTCTTGGTGTTTAATTTTTATCTAGCTATTGTGTTGCATAGAACTCCTGGAAGGTGTACTGTACAAATGTTTTCTCTTATGAGGATAGTCACCAACCCAATCATACAAATGATTCCCAACATAATCCCCCAAATACCGCATTAAGTGGATTCATGTAAGTTGTAAATGATGTAATCTTTTGTGTATGGTAGGCACAAGAAAATGGAAGATGGCAAACAACTACTGGATTTTGTAATTGTGTATGTTATTGTACATAGATGTTCAGTCTGAAAATCCTGTTAAAATCTTCTTTTTTATTGTGCTTATAAATTCTGCAATAATTTTCTGTTTTTCTGGTTTGTGTCAAAGAGAGATGAAAATGATGACTTTGGTTGACCATGGAATCCACGAGTGAGAAGAACATTTTTGGCATTGTAATTCTTAAGAAACATAAGGGTGGAGCGCATGTTTTGTCATGCAGATGAGTGCTTGAATGCTATCATATCCACCACAAGCTGACAAATGATAACATCACCCTCTCATTGTCGCCCACTCTTCCTCACCTTTTGCTATTTCATCACTTTCCTTTCTTTAATTATGCAGAAGGCAAATTACCTTTTCAGAAATACACCAAACTGTTTTCTAAAAGAAAAATGCCATCATTTTTTGTCAATAAAACTAATCAAAGGATTTTTATTGAAGATGTCAGCATTGGATAAAGAAATTGCACTTTGAAGAACATTTTGATTCATCGTGCATCTTGGAAGCTGGTAGCACTCCCATTAGCTTAACTGGTGAAGTACTTAGTGGAGTTAATCATTATAACATTTTAGAAAGCAAACAACACCATTAGGCCGATTCACTCCATAAAGTAACCACTTCTCAGGGATTTTTTTCTTTTCATTTGAAATTTTAGGTTATCTTCCAGGATTGTTCCAAAGCTCTGGAATTGGTAGAACTTTGAACACCTGTCCTATCCTATACTGTAGACATAAGCATTTATTTATGGGTTAAATATTTTTTAGTGAAAGTGAAATAAGAATTGTTGGGTGGGTTTGAATCACAACAAATTCTTAAATTCACAATAAATATAATAACTTATCTCTTTATCTCATACTTATATTTATAGATTTTGAGATGAGTTTATGAAATAGTTGTAATTAGGGTCCAATGTCTAATAAATAAGACTTAGATGTAAACTTGATTATAGGTTGTGCTTAAGATTCTTTAGAGTATGTAACCGCTCAGTCGTGTCATTCTCGTGGTTGGTCGATCATAGTGCGTACAAGAATACTGTATAATATATCAAACGCTATAAACAACTCAAATATAAAAAAACTTTAAATTAAAAAGAATATATATATATATATATATATATATATATATATATATTATTTTTTAAGTTTAAAAATCAAATTCTATCAAAATTTAAAACAAACAAGTTTATCAAATTAAAAACATATTTAATCTTTTATTTATTTATTCATTTTCTTAAAATTCTTGATTTTATAAATTATATATCAGATTCCAAATTAATCCAAGTTAAAAACATCTATTTAAGAGTATACAATTTCTACATGGAATCCAATTTCTTTCCAAACAAGTTTAAGTATCCTGTACGTCACTTATATTTTATTTAAATTGCATTGATAGTGTTATGAAATAATATAAGCTTGTTCCTTTAAAAAAGCCTTTTTAGAAACTAGTTTATTTTGATAAGTAAATCATGACAACATTTGTCACAACCACTTTTTATGTTAGGAAAAGATAGTTGTTGAATTTTGCCAAGATAATACATCGAATATTGATATTTTAGCATACAACTATATTTGAAGAGAGTGTTTTGTAACACATGGTGTACTCTATATCTTACTCAAATAGGATTTTCTACAGTCGATGTTACTTTGATCTCTACTATAATAAAATTCTTTTTTACATAAAAAGGATAAAGCTGAATTAATTGGTAAAGATAAACTAAATTGAAACTTTAAATAAAAGAAATAAAATTTAAAATACCACTTTAAATATTGAGCACACTTGCATGTGATAAGATAACATTTGTCTAGGCTTTTTGTGGTTTTTATAATCTTTTAAAAAGCTTATAACAAGTAATTCTTTAAATAGGGAATTAAACTTTTGAAAATTATTGCAACAAGAAAAATGTACGAGACTTATATTCTGTTTTCTTTAATAAAGATCAAACATATAAGTTATAAAGTTTTATCCTAATAGTAACAGGCTTTTAAATTACTTATTCCATTTTCATCTTCATCTTGCTTTTAATGAAATAATAAAAAATGGTAGAAAGTGGAACTAAAAGTAAATATCTAACAAAAAAAAGAATTATAAATTAATTATTCGAGTGTACAATAATCTGTATTTCTAAAAAATATGTATGCCAAAGCGCGAGCAAAAAATAAGTACATAATGTATGAAATGGAACAAAATGTTCATGTAATATGTGTTTAGAGTGGGAAAAATAAATAAATAAAAATGGGAAAATACATGATTATTTAACTTATTAAATTTTATTTTTATTAATTTTTAATTAATATTATACATTATATTAAGGATTGGATGGTATTATTTTGACAATGAATAAACTTTTATACATATTTTATATTTACTATTTTACTTTTTATTTATCTTTTTTTATAAATACAAAAGTTAATTTTTTTAATCATCAAAGTATTCTTGAATATAAATTGTCAACGGGTGGGAGTAATGTCAAAAAGAAAGACTTCAATCAAAGGGGAATTAGTATTTATTCATTTTTAAATAAATTAATTAGTCAAAGACAGAAAAAAAAATCATGCTTATTTAGTAAAAGTACTTAAAAAACTCAAACAAACTCATCTAATTTAAAAAACTAGTATAATAATTAAAAAAAAAATGTTGAACACTCTCAAAATATATCCTTTAATCATTAATCTAACTGTCTCCAAAAAATAAGCATTAATCTGAAAAACCTGATACTAGCATACCCTAAGATTTGAAAGATCTAGTGACAGGAAGAACGACAGTACAATTTCCTTAAACTAACAGCTCTGACATTATTTTCAGTTAACCAGGGACCAACAAACTCTGAAAATCCTGTGATTTCACCTTCATCCAAACACTCCCATTCCTACTCCTTTCATTCTTCCAACTGCCCCACTCTTCCAAGAGTTGTACACCAATATAGCCACTTTTTTTTTTTCCTTTCAATTCCTTCAACTCACCAACCCCAATTTCTCAAACCTAAGGCCTCTGAGCTCCCCCTGCTTTTGTGTTCTGAGCATTGAGATCCTCCGGGTAATTTATCTCCTTCACGAATTCAGCATCTTATCTTATCTTATCTATGTGCTTTATTGCCCCTTGGAACTTTTTTTTTGGCATATCTATTTACACCTAATTGTATTTCTTTTTTCCATTTTTCCACTTTCGATGTGAACGGATTTTGTCCATTTAGGCCAATATATTGTGATTTTTTACCTGTCGTGAGATCGAGTGTCTCCTTGTAATGAATCATGACATGAGTGTTAACCAAAAGACAAAGTTAATGATTTAATTTATTCCTTCAGGTTCTTGTGCAACCCTAGGTGATGCTGAATCTTTACAAGCTGATGCGAATTTATATTTTTCTGGTAGTTATTATTGTTGTTGTTATGAAACTCAAAGTTCATTTTTTTGTTTGCTGAGTTTATGTGATCCTGGATCACGTATAAGCTAAGTTGTATATAGCAAAGCTAGGGATCTTTCACATTTGACTGCTAGAATGCAAAGTATGTTGTGTTGTTGACGTGCTCATCCCCACCATTCCTCTCCTACCACCTTACTGGGAAGGATATATATGTAATCAATAACAGGTTGAGAGTATCTCGTCAAATCTGTTTCTTTGTTTCAAAATAGCAAAGATATCCTATAATCCAGTGCTTGAGAATGAAAAGTAGAGAACTGTCACTTTTGGAAATGTCAAATGGGAGGGAAAACGGGAATCAAATTTATCAGACGGGTTTGCTTGAGATTGAGCAATTTGGAATTTGGAACTGAAATTAGATACAAGACATTCACCTATCAGTGGAGGCACTTAATTCCAACACATTTGTTTAAGCAAGAAGACAATTGACATGCAATACTTGCACTTGTGATCAGTTAATTGTTGGAAATCCAAGTGTGACTTTAAGTATCACATTGAATAGAAATGAGAAAATGAATAAAAACCCATTAACTATTGTCTTAAGATTTTTGATTGAAAGTAGCGTTAATCCTTATGTGATTGGATTCGGTCTTATTGTTGTTTTTATGTTTTATGTCTTTCAAGTGAACTTCCTCTCTTGATAGATCTAATATTGATCTCTTAATTTGAACCAATCTTTAAAGCAGGCAAGCAGGTGGTTGTAAAACAATTGGATGTATTTTAATCTTCTTACTATTTGCTTGTTATAATGATTCTTTTCTCAATGTTGCTCTCTTCCTATAGTCTTCTTTATTCTTTACAGAACGAGGAAGCACACCGTAGATTTCTTCTTTTGTTTGACTATTGTAATTTTGGTTCCATTGTTTGTAGTACTGCTGAAAGTTATTATTGATTATCCTAGAGCAAGATGTAGTACTGCTGAAAGTTATTGTTGATTATACTAGAGCAAGATGAAGTTTGCTTGCGTCGTAGACAGATGTTATGGTTATCGTAAGATTCTGTTATGCTGTGTTTAATGCGTTAGATTACTTACTGATATTAATTTGGTTGTTACAATAAATCATACACCATTTTATTCACTACATCCATCTTGTTGGGCTTACTTAGTGGTGATTCGTCTTCAGTAATTTTTTAGTCCTTTCCCATGTTCATATTTTGAACTTATTTGAACATCACAAGATTTTACAACAATCTTATTGAGTCAATGTGCATTTTAAGATAATGGTCCGTGGAAGAGATGCCTGTTGGGAACACTGTGTCCTGGTTGACGCAACTAAACAAAAGGTCAGATGTAATTATTGTCAAAGGGAATTCAGTGGAGGTGTATACAGGATGAAATTTCACTTGGCTCAAATTAAAAACAAAGATATTGTTCCATGCACCGAAGTTCCAACTGATGTACGAGACCATATTCAAAGTATATTAAGTACACCCAAGAAACCAAAAACTCCCAAGAAACATAAGGCAGATCAAGCTGCTATTTCAAATGGTCAACAGAATAGTTCGTCTGCTAGTGGTGGATTGCACCATAGCCATGGGTATAGTGGACAGAATGGTATTGCTTGTCCATCTTTATTATTTCCACTTCCTTCGCCATGTGCCCAGCCAATAGTGGATGATGGTAAAATGCAAAAGCAGGATGATGCTGATAGAAAACTTGCCATATTTTTCTTCCAGAATTCTATTCCTTTAAGTGCTGCTAAATCCATGTATTATCAGGATATGGTGGACGCTATAGCTCAGTGTGGTGTCGGCTATAAAGCACCAACTTATGAGAAATTAAGGTCTACTCTTTTAGAAAAGGTGAAAGCTGATATTCACAATGATTATAAAAAATACAGGGATGAGTGGAAAGAAACAGGATGCACAGTCTTATGTGATAACTGGTCTGATGGTAGGATCGGATCACTTGCTGTGTTTTCTGTTGCATGCCCAAAAGGAACGTTGTTCTTGAAGTCGGTTGATGTTTCAGGTCATGAAGATGACAGTACTTACTTGTTTGAGCTTTTGGAGTCAGTTGTTCTGGAAGTTGGTTTAGAAAATGTTGTTCAGGTTATGACAGATGCCAGTGCTGGTTATGTTTGTGCTGGAAGGCTTCTCACAGCGAGGTATAGTTTTTTGTTTTGGTCTCCTTGTGTCGCTTATTGTATAGATAAGATGTTAGAGGATATTGGTAGACAAGATTGGGTTATCACAGTCCTGGAAGATGCAAAGACAATCACACAGTACATTTATAGTCATGCCTGGATTCTGAATATAATGAGAAAGTTTACAGGTGGAAAGGAATTGATCAGACCAAAAATTACTAGATTTGTCACTGATTTCCTTTCCTTGAGATCTATAGTGATGCAGGAGGATAATTTAAAGCACATGTTTTCTCATTCAGAATGGTTGTCTTCCATGTATAGCAGACGTCCAGATGCACAAGCCATTAAGTCATTGCTATATTCGGATAGATTTTGGAAGCATGCGCATGAAGCTGTGAGTGTTTCTGAGCCACTGGTTAAACTCCTAAGGATGGTTGATGGGGATATGCCTGCTATGGGTTATATATATGAAGGAATGGAGAGTGCAAAAGTTGTGATCAAGGCCTATTATAAGGGAGTCGAAGAGAAATACCTCCCAATCTGGGAAGTTATTGATCGAAGATGGAATATGAAACTTCATTCATCACTGCATGCTGCGGCTGCATTTCTTAACCCTTCGATTTCTTACAATCCAAACTTGAAGAAAGATTTGAGGATGAGGAATGGGTTTCAAGAAGCCATGCTCAGGTTGGCAACTACAGATAAAGATAAAATGGAAATTACCAAAGAACTTCCTACTTACATCAACGCCGAGGGTGCACTTGGGACTGAATTTGCTATTTTGGGAAGAACACTAAATGCCCCTGGTATGGCTCTTTGAAAGAATGTGTTGTTTTATATTTGAGATGACTTTCTGTTTCCTTTTCTCATTTGATCAAGCATCTTGCGTTTTTGGTCTTTTGACATGCTTTTGCTTATTTACTATTATGGATGTCCAGGGGACTGGTGGACTAGTTATGGTTATGAAATCCCAACGCTTCAGAAAGCTGCAATGAGGATACTTAGCCAACCTTGTAGTTCCCTTTGGTACAGGTGGAACTGGAGTACTTTCCAAAACATACATAACAAAAAACACAACAGGGTGAAGCTGGAAAAATTCAGTGATTTGGTTTTTGTGCATTGCAATCTTTGGTTAAAAACCATTTTCCGACGTAGGAAAGCAAAATCTGGGGCCGTTATCTATGATGAAATAGATTGTAGCTGCGAATGGCCCTCTGAGATAGAATGTTTGCCCCCACTTATGGATGATTCGTGGTTGGACGATCTTCCCCTTCAATGCAGAGGAAGTCCTTAGCACTGTGAGGCAAGGACAAATTTAAGCTAATCGTGTGGTATAATTCTCTACATTTGTATAATTATTCAAATTTGTTTATAGAAATGTACAGCTAATCTCTTTACCTTTACTTTCTTTGTATAATATAACTTCCAAAGCAGTTTATTTCTCATCCATTGTATTTTCTAATGTACTTGTATATATCTTTATTACCAACTATGAAGCGAATTTCTCTTGGCTCGGAATAATCAATATTCATCTATTTTGGTTTTGGTATTTAAACACCTAATTTCGTAAGTCAATAAAAATAAAAAATAAAATAAAAGAATAACAATTAATGGTGGGTAAAAAAAAATGTTAATATATATATATATATAATTTCAAACTTTAGTTTAGTCCAAGAACTCAAGAGTTTTATGCATATTTTCACTTTCTCTTTACTTTTCATATCTTTCACAAGACATATTACTAGAAAATAATTTTGAAATATTGGTATATTTTTTAATATGGTAATAATTTGAATAAATATTATGCCAATAATTGTAAGTAATATTTCTGATGATAATTAGAAATAATATTTTAGTATTATATAATAATTTGTTGCGTCAATATCTTTATAAAAGAGAAAGATATGATCCTAAAATTTGATCAAATTTCAGACCATAATTATAATCAATGTTTTATTTGATTTGATTATTTTTTGCAACCAAGACCATTTCTTTCTTATCTTGTTCATTATCAATTAATTCACAATTAAAGCAAAATTATCATAATATTACAATATGTGTATATAAATATACATCTATGATAAAAAAAAAAAAGAAGATTAGAAAAATTAGAGAGAGACAAAAAAAATAAAGACATAAAAAGTTTTTACATAAAAAGAGCTCTGTCAACTACCATTATTAAGGAAAAAATAGTTGAAGTATCGAAAGTTTGGGAAAGTATGATACCTCTACCCTTCTGTACAGTTTTTTGCTTAAATATTGGGTTTCGTTTACAAATGCAAATGCAATTAATACAATTATTTTTCCTTTGTGGACATGGTTTATACAATATACAAAAACTGACAATCAATGAGTAATCTGTGCCCTAAAACATGGCTACAGCTGGCAAACAGAAATACTAAGATAGTCTTTGGTTTAAAATATTTCTTCAAGGTAAAATTATAAAGTGCAGTCAAAATTACGTATGAAATTTATTTTTGAAACGTTAATTTTAGGATTTGTGGTTTAGTAGCCTAGTGGATACATGCGTTTATTCGTTTGGCTTCTATACATTCTCCTTTTCCTAACCTTAGGTACTTTTTCAAAATTCTGTGTATGTATTTATATTATGTCGTTTCACCTCTGATTAATACGGTTGCAGTTAGGTTTGTCTTACCATTTCCTGAATCGCAGTCATTTTTACTTAACTAGTGTATTTCATGGAAATCATTCTACTAGTCATAGTTGGATTTGCGGGATCTACTAGTCATATTTGGATTTTCGGTTTAAGTTTTTTTCTTCATTTTACTTTTACGCACTTGTATATGCGTTTAGGTTTTGTTTTATACCTTTTTTTTTTCTTTCATTATGTTAACATATAATATTTAGTATACTTTTTTTTTAATATTTTATATTTATATGTTTTGTAATTTTAATTTATATGTTATGTTTTTATGTTAAATAATATTTGATATGGTTTAGAGTATGTTTTGATTTGTTTGTTAATTATTTTTGAATTTGTTGTTTTTTTTATAATTTTAAGTTTTTTATATATTATTTATTATGTATATTTTTTTGTTTTATTTTATTTTATTTGTTTTTGAATTTGTAATTTTTATTAAATTACTTATTTAATTAAATGTTAATCATTAAACCATACTTTTTCATATATTATTAAATGAAGGGTAAGACTGTAAACTGTGAGGTGTAGAGTGAAACATGTGAGATGCAGGAAGAATCACTCGATTAAATATAACAAACTAACACGTTAGCCATTTCGGGATGATGTATTTTGTAACGAGTGATTCTCCCAACACCTCACATGTTTCACCCAACACCTCACATGTTTCACCCTGCACCTCCCAATTTATAGTTTTATCCTTCATTTAATAATATATGAAAAAGTACAATGATGGTTTATTGATTAATATTTAATTAAATAAGTAATTTAATAAAAATTATAAATTCAAAAACAAATTAAATTAAATTAAACAAAAAAATATACATAATAAATAATATAAAAAAAACTTAAAATTATAAAAAAAAACAAATTCAAAAATAATTAACAAACAAATCAAAACAAATCAAAACGTACTCTAAACCATATCAAATATTATTTAACATAAAAACATAACATATAAATTAAAATTACAAAACATATAAATATAAAATATTAAAACAAAAGTATACTAAACATTATATGTTAACATAATGAAAGAAAAAAAAAAGGTATAAAACAGAACCTAAACGCATACCCAAGTGCGTAAAAGTAAAATGAAGAAAAAAATTTAAACCGCAAATCCAACTATGACTAGTAGACCCCGCACCTCCAAGTGCGCTCCGTCCACTGTTCTGCCATGCACAAGCCGCAAATAAAGCACACAATAATAAGGTTGATGTGAAATGTGTGAGAAGAAGAACTAGCCCTGCTACTACATTTTACCACAACACCAACAGCACAAAGTCACCAAACCAGGGAGGAAGGAGGAGGGAACGACCACTCAACAACTAAGAATGGTAAAAAATGAGAGAGGAGAGAGGAGGGGAAGAACACTAGAAGAGAGGAGAAAAAGAGAGGTGTAGCTTTTAGATATGAAATGCGGTAAAAAAAAAAAAAAGGAAAGGAGGAGAAATAAGGTGTAGGATTTTGCAAATCTGAGATGCGGCAGATGAGGGAAGGCTGGTGCTTTTTATTATTCAATGAACTCAGCTTCTTTTAAAACTAAAATATTCTCTGATAAGATAGGGGTACAAAATATAATAAAAAAAGGTGCAGGCTCAACTCAGTGAGGTACAGGGATAATCACTGTTTTGTAATGGAAGTTTTTACCATTTAAAATTTGGCAAATTGATGTTCGAAGTATCTACTCTGCCATTAACAATGATGATGATGCTTTTGGAGCACTTTCCAATATAGAAACACGGATTCATGAAGTAAAATGGCCTGGTATATTTCAATTACAATACGACTGGATGAGGAAGATATTACGGGATCAAGATACCAATGAAATTTTTTCATATCTTGTGGAGTCCCTTGGGAAACTTTTGCTTGTTCTTAGATATTTTAATCTCAAACGAAATAAATGGATTCAGACCAAAAAATTTGAGGTATATGCATTGGACTTTGGAGAGTTATCTTGGAAGAAGGTTGAGGATTTAGGAGATGAAATGATATTTTTGGGGAAATGTTGCTCAACATCATTTTCTGTGAAGGAACTTGGAGTTGGAATTAGAGACAGCATTTACTTCTGTAACGATCCAATGACTCCTTGGAGGAATGAATGGGATTTTAGTCTTTTAAAACATTTAGGCTTGAATAGGACTGATGTAATTGGGGAATTTTCACTCTTGGCAATGAGGATGATGAGCCCTTTTTCTTCCATGGTCGTGTAGACATGTGGACAGACACCTGGTTTACTGCTCCTTCATGGTGGTGCTGTAGAAATATTCCTCCAATACAAAGCAAGTAAAATTTATATGTTGAAATAGTCCGCATGATTATTATAGGAAAAGGAAAGAGTTAAAAGTTTAACAGGTTAGTTGATTTTGTTATTCTTTTCTGTTATCTGGTTTACTGTAATTCCAATACATAGGTTTTTTCCAAAAGCGGAATTTTTTTAATTTAGTTTACTGGTCATATTCCAATGTAAAAAAAAAGAAAGCACCTTTGGAGTTTATTATTATTATTATTATTATAAGCGAAAACCTGACAGATGCAACTATTATATGCCTGGCACCACAGGTATTAAGCACTTCTGTGAACGTTTCCACAACACGTGGAATTGTCTCCAAAATACAGAGTTAAAACCAGAAAATTTCGCGACTGAGTTATGAAAGTTTTCACAACCTGTGAATTTGTTTCGAGAGAAACATAATGCAAACCAGAGAGTTCCACGATTAAGTTGTGACTTTTTCCACAACTTATGAATTTTCTTTAGGAGAATGAAATTGAAACCACAGAAAAACACAAGAAATTGTGGATTTTTTCATAAGTTTACTTTAGAAGAGAAATTAAAATCAAAGAAGAGCACAAGCAATCCTGAATTTTTTTTTTCATAAGAGCATTTACTAACTTCTCATATTACACGGATTTAAAAAGATTAAAAAAGATAGATAAATAAATGACAGTTACTTAGAGGGAGTAACCAATATGCTAGAAAGGAGAATAAGTAGAGAAGAGGATGAACATTTTGGGATGTGATTTTTGGTGGATAAAACGCACATAAGAAAGGGCGAAAGGACTTCTACACTTCTTTTAGTTTTTCTTTGAAATTTTACATTATGCAAAACTACTATTTTTATGTTAGAAGATTGATGTAATACTTTGAATTATAATTTCTGAACTTTTTTAATTAATGTTTTGTTAATTTTAATTATCTCATTGTTTTATTTATGTTCTAATATTTATTCATGAACAATTTCACAATTGAGAAATTAAAGATTGTTTGTGATTATAAATAAAACAGATTAGATATTGTCACAATTAAAAAATTAGACATAATTATTTAGTTTGCAATTGAAATAATAATTATTTTTTATGATTTTATTGAATTTTGTAACTTACCTAAGGAATTGAGAGTTAGAATTCAATGGATAAGTTTATTGGTCTAAGGAATTAGGAACAAACTCTTAATAAATTCAAGTAAATAATTACAATTCAAACATCAATTGAAAAACGTATAAAATCAATTTTCTAACATTGTTTATATTATTTGAATTTCATCACTGGTTTATGTCATCATTTCACTTGATATTTTTTTCATTTCACTTGATATTTTTGTTGCTCAAAATTACATGAATTTATGATTTAGTACTCAACTCATTCAATTCCAAACGATATTATTGACGATATTATTGGTACACTTACCAAAAGTTCACGGGTCTCCTAAAAGGGACGACCATTTGGGGTCCTTAAATCATAAAAATCTCCTACAGGATTAGTATTTCATATTATAATAATCTCCTAATATCATGCAATTTATAACTATTGTACATAGACTACAACTAACAAAAATGTGACAGTGTTAACATAAGATTTGTTTTCAAATAATTGGAAGAGACGTATTAAAGGTGAAATCAGATTTTTATTGCGTTCAGGATTTCCTGTACAAAAGACTAGTTTTGCAAATATTATTGAAAACAGAAACGTTTCTTAAACCATATAAACCCTAATTAATCTTTTGGAATGCTTAAATCGATTTAGGTTATCTAAAACTTTAACCAAACCCTTCGGATACTGAATCCCAATCAAAATAAGAGCTTGGTATTCAAATCGAACACCATATAAAAGTCTACTTCCACAGTCTTCACCACGCAAGTAAAAAAAGTATACAGTCATAGCAAATGCACACAATCAAATAAAACATATAAAAGTTCAGTCATGAACAAAAGACAACGGAAACCTAAAATGTTTATAGCTTAAACAATAACTAAAACATGAGAGTAAAAAAGGCTTACCAGCTGCAACAAGTATCTACAACAGAACATGCGAGGGCTGGAACAAATTGAATTGATATCACGTATCAATAACCCGCAATACTCACAAAAGAGAAGTGAAGTGACAGCAGGGTGCAGCAGATATACAAAACACGACACAAAATATGACACGGCAAGAGCAGAAATGTAAGGCCACACAGTACTAGATAAAACACATGACGAGAAATTCACATAAAACTAAACTTGCAAGCAGACAGGCACACAGACAAACACATGCACGCAAGGAAGAAAAATCAATCAAGTCCCAGCTCATCTTCATTTTTCTGTTCACGAGAGTCATCAACAAAAAGTTTAGGAAGTTCCAAAGATGGGCTTGAGCATCTACTTTTAACAATAGGTATTTTCCACTCCAGCATTCAATGATCAAAAGCATCATATTGGAGTTTACCTGACATGGAGTGGACAGCTATTCAACACTACAATTACCTTAGATACCACACAGTTCACTACTGCTATTATCTTGAATGCTCAACATTTCAGAGGTAACTATGAATTTATCGCTACAAAAGTAGAGAATTTAAATATCCATTTATACAATTTAAACCCACGAATTCCTGCAGAAGGGGGTGGGATGACGACTCAAATAATTGTCGACTCCAAGCGAAATTCAAGAAAGACATAAATGCAACAAGCATGCAGACATTTATAGTGTACGAATTTTGCACGAACTGAGATTTCATTATTCGGTAAGCTTGTAGCAAAGCTCGCTCAGTCTAATTCATCATTTCACTTCGCTCGAAATCGGAACCAGGTTTGATCCAACAAGGGAGAAAGGATTAGATATAGAAATACTTGGTCTGAATTACAGCATGCATATATAAACTAACTCAAAATCAGATCTCATAATACAAATAAACCCAAACCAAATAGGGCAAATTAAATTGAGTAGCCACCGTTTCCTAAAACAACCCTCGGTTAGCCACAAACGATAAAAATAAGCACAGCACGGTTAATCGACGGTCCACTCAAAAGCAAACACGACAGAGTAAACAGAAAAGCAGTAATACCGAAACAACGGAGAAAAGAGAGAAGAACACTTAAAAGAGATTCCTACTACTTAGCGACCATTCTGGCAATGAAATCCTCGTAGCGGATCTTGCCATCGGAGCCGACGTCGACTTCCCTGATCCACTCGTCGAACTCGGAGGGCTCCAGCTTCTCGCCGATGTTGGTGAGGATGTGTCGGAGCTCCGAAACGGAGACGAATCCGGTGGAATCCTTGTCGAGGACCTTGAAGGCGTCACGGAGTTGGCGATCGAAGGGTTCGGGTTTCATGTGTTTGGCCATGAGATCAAGGAATCGAGGGAAGTCGAATGGGGCGGTGAGATTCTCTTCGGCTACGATGGACTTTAGTTGGGCCTGGGTCGGGTTCCCTCCGAGTGACCGCATCAGGATCCCGAGCTCCGAAGGCGCGATCCGACCGTCGCCGTCTGTGTCGAATAGAGAGAAAGCCTCCTTCATCGCAGAAACCTGCTCATCGCTCAGATCCTTACCCATCTTCGATTTCCTTCTTTCAACCTCTCTTCTCTTTTTTTTCTCTTCTCTTCTGAGCTACAGTGTAAGGGCTACAAGACTCGAATTGAAATTGAAATTGAAATTGAAAAGAAAATGTTTTTCCTGTTCCCTCTCTCCTCAGATATGATGATGGTAATAATAATTAATGGGTCGCATCGCATCCTCCCATGCTATTTTATCCGTTTTTAATTCGCTCAGCCTAACGACGTCGTTGTTGTAGTCACGTAGTTCTGTAAGCAGTATCCTCTAATTGGGCCCGTAGAAGTAAGCCCGTGTAGGACCATGGGAAACTGAAATGAAATAAATGGAGTATTACTACTTTTTCTAGGTCATATTTAATATTGAATTTTGTGTTAATCATTCTTGATTCACTTATTCATTGGGTTATGCAACTTTTTCTGATTGCACCAACTTTGTTTTTACCTTTTTATTTTCTTGACAATTGGAATAGAATCAAAACCATTGATCAACAATTTACGGACAATGATGTTTGGTGTTTGTTTAACAGTATAAATTGTATTGAGTGGTGTTGGTTATTTATTTGGATAAAATGGAAAAGTGAAGAAGAAAATGATGATAATGAAAGTGAATTATGTTTAGTTTGCATGAGAAGCATTTAAAGATTGGATTGGTAATAATGTGTGGTGAATGAAGATGATGAGGGTAGCTAAAGCCCATAAAAGTGTACAGACCAAGCCTATCAAAATGCGCCCATTAGACAACTGTAATCACTAAGAAGCGCATGCTTAAAGCCTTCTACACAAAATTCTTCTCCATAAAAAAAACTTAGATACTTCTTCTTTTTTCTATTTTGGTCGGGTTTGTTTATGATGTTTTTTCGTGTTTAATTGAGTTTTATTTTTCTCAATTTTTTGTTAATTTACATTTTTTTTTGTAATAATGTTTAAATAGTTAATGTCTGTAAATGTATTTTAAATGTCAATACGTGATTTTTTATTTTTTAATTTTATTTTTCAACAACATTTTCGCTACACAATTTTTTCATGAGATTCTTTCAACAACATTTTCAAATACATTCATGATAACATTCTCATTTTCACAAAACAATCTTTATACTCATAAACATATTTAAAGTATGATTTTTTACAAACTAACACTTAGAAGAGGTGGTATCTAATGTTAGACTTCTCAAAGAAAGTGATCCTTAACACAATTTTTCTTGCAAAAAAGCCACACTCGACACTCTTCTACCGCTCAACATCATAAAATTAAATTGCTTTAGACTTGAGTGAAAATATGACACTGAACACCAAAGCATTTGCAGAAATAGACGCTCACCGATACAGATGTTCAACACTATGAAGCTAAAATGTTTCCAGACTTACATTATTTAATCTTATATTCACATTAAAAATAAAATAAAATTATTTATTTTTCAAATAAACACTTCTAAAATCTCACTTAATATCATTTAAAAAAAATGACAATGTAAACAGCACATTAATTTTAAACTCTATTTTAAAGTTATATTAGTTAAAACTAGTGAAAACACGGTTAGTATCACTTTTATTTGTCTATATTTTTTGTGATAATAAATTTGTTATATACTATGAAAATCGATTTATAAAAATAAAGGTAATATAACAATATTATACAAAAAATAAAAATAAAATGTATAAGAAGCAATTTATTTTTATTACTATATATTATTAATATATTGTTTCCTTAAAATTAATAACTTTATTTTTTGAGTTACACATACCAAGCGTGATGGTATTAACTTCTCATTCAATATTTTTTTAATAAATTAAATTTACAGAAAAGTTTATATATATAATTTGTCGTTGTTAACATAAAAAGTTATTTGACAGGATATAATGTTAATTTGCTGTAGAAAAGCGACTAAAAATGTTGATCTAGATGGTTGCTAGAATTTAAAAATGAATGAGTTTGAATTGTTTAGTGTTTGTTATTTTTTTCTCTCAATCAAGTCGAGAATGGTGGAAGATTGCGAGAGGCTCCACCATGCTTCCATCAGAGACATCATTTTCATATTCTTAATGGCAGCTACAGTGACAAACCAGAAGATGACAGAGACTGTCCTCCATTACTTTTTCTTCATAAATATCATACTCAATGCCACAAAAATATTTCATAACGTGGACCATTCCCAACAATAATCTTTTACCTTTCTTAACAGTAATTAAAATTTATCATAACATCAAACTAAATATATAATATCAAAAAATATAGAAGAAAAGTTCATCTACGAACAATACAATGTTGCACTAATATATTTCTTATCAACATGTTATTATACAACTTAATAATATTATTTATATTTGAAGACAATCCGATCAGTCCAATAATTGAATGGTCAATTAGTTTGCAGTTTTATATGAATTATCAAGAATATAGTTATATTAGATTATTAATATTTGGACCATAACTGATTAACATTTGTACTATAGGATACCTAATCCTCCAACGGTCGACCAATAACCCAGTGACATACGACCATATGGCGTTGTCGACCGCTTGATGCGCGACATACGACCATATGGCGTTGTCGACCGCTTGGTGCACGACGTACAACCACATGGCGTTGTCGACCGCTCGGTGCCCGACGTACAACCATATGGCGTTGTCGACCACTTGAGGATCGACAATCGAATGGGTTTCGTACGACAAGTCACCCACTTATGTCGACATGCGAGATGACCGACATATAGAACACGACATCGTGGTCTATCGGTTACAGATAAACGGTTACCGTAATTGACTAACTAATGCCGCGAATTACGGAAATAGGTAGCTTAATATTAGCACACGATCTAGCAGTTATAACTCCTACACAGTCAACTTTAGTAACTGACCGAATTATCAGGTAACCGGATCATCAGGTAACGGTTTATTTTATTACTTTAAATACACACAGCATACCAGAAAAAAGGTACGTTTTTCCCTAAGGAGAATTAAGAAAAGATTTCTTGATCTAATCACTCTCACTGACTTGAGCGTCGGAGTGCCTTTGCAGGTACCCAGCCCACCTTTACCCAAAGAACAGAGCATAGAAAGAGAGAGGAAACATCATCACAGAGTTGAGAAGAGGAAGCAGTCCGGTTTTATTTGGTTTGTATTTCGGTCTCCACATCTCTACTGAAACAACATTATTTATAAATTCATCTCGAAATTTGTAAACATAAATTTGTGATATTCAAAGTGATATTTATTACATATTTATTGTTAATCTTATCGGACATTTACTGATTTTAACATTAAAATATTTTTTATTTATCTATAATATCCGATCTGACTGGACGACAACCCGCACAAAGTAGATAAAAAAAAAATCTTGATATGATTTTGGAGTTTAGAAACCTTTGTAAAAAAAGTAAACTTAACCTCGTTCCGTCCCCTGAAACATTATTATTTTTGTTTTGTATTTGTAAAAAAAAAAGTAAAAGTACATATATTTTAGTCTGATAAGAATTAAAAACGCACATAGGGTTTGGCAAGAAAAAATGGGAAAATAACAAAATGATCCAGCCATGCTATCTTTGTAGGGTATTATTTGTATGACAACCCACGCATAGGTTGTGGTATGTGTTGATAGACGATGTTGTCAGTGTCTTTTCCATCGTGGGGTTTAACTCTTGGACCTCATTGTAATAAAAAAGTTAAAAATAATAGTTTATAGAAACATTTTATATTTCTTATAATTCTCATTATTAGCCTTCATTTATCTTTTACTATAATTATAACTATAAATGTCTGTAAATTAATGCGTGTTTCATCTAAAATAAAAATTATTGATTATTTTATTGTGTAAATATTGTTATATGTATCGTGTTAATCTTGTTTTCTGGGAGAATTCTAGTGCCAGAAACAGTTGTAATTTTGTCTGTTTGCATTGTCTTGTCAAAGAGTTTATTTTAGAAGAGGTTGGAATGCAGTTGAGATTTGAAAATTGGAGAGTAGTCTAATTAATCTGTCAACTCTCTCTTTCTTATACAATTCCCTTACAAATTAGTATTATCCAGCATTATAATTAATAAATAACCAGTCGCCCTTTATTTATGGAGATAGGACTAGATGACACTTAAGAATCTTTCATTTTCTTCTATTTTTAAATAAAATTATATTTATGTCAGTTTTAGTATTTAAATAGACATTGACATTCTTATGTAATTATTTAAATAGTATTTACTCTCTTTACTTTATTTGAAAAAAATGTCAGACAATAACTTAACTAAGAAATTAACTTTTAACTTTTTAAAATGTCAAACTAAAAATATTACAAATAAAACAAGAGAATTATTAAAGATATAAAATAAACAAGTGTTATTTAATAAAAACATGATTGGGATTTTTAAAAAGTATAAAATATATGAATGCAATTTTATAAAAGAAAGGGAAAAATGGATGCTCATATTAAAACTAAAGAGACGTATGTATTTTATGTCCAGAGGCAATCTAATGGGCTACACGTAATTTCCTTCGTTTATTATTACTTGAGAGTTTTCTATTTTACACTTCCTTCACTGTTAGCTGTAAAGTTCCAATAATAGGTGCCAAAAGTTAGGTTAAGGTAGGTTACTTTCCTTGACCCAGAAACTCTTTAAATATGAAAACACACACACACACAAATATATATATATATATATAAAACTGAAAAATTCTTATAGGTTAATTTGAATATATTATTTTTTGAATTACTGCAATGGACACGTAAAGCATATTTGAATTTATTTTGATGCAGATAAATAGTAGGAAACAGTGTTGAATGTTAAACATGATGGGTGACGAAATAGTCAAAGGTGGTGGGGCTGCAATACCCACATAATTATTCAGACTTTAATTAGACGATACAAAAATGTTTGAGAAACAAGGAGTGGGGATAATAATAAGTGGTATGTATGATTAAAATCCTATTTCCCCCCGAAAACCTTCTTCTCTTGCAACAGTCGTTGATGATGCAATATGAACCCTGCTTCTCACTGTCACCAACTCATCAAAAGTTACTTAATTATGCATCCTTTCTCAGTATATCCTTCTGCTCCTTACCCTGTTTCTCCGTCTATAACCACTAACCAACAAACTTTCACTCTAACAAGTTGACCAACATGTTACATTATTTACGGCCACATTTAAAAACCAAACTCAAACTTGGATTATTCAAACTACAGATAAAAGCGCACACACTCGTGTGAGCTCTCTCTCCTTCCAAATTCACACTCAAAAACCAGTTATGGAAATTCCTTGCCTTCTTTCTCTCTTTCTTCTGATTTCTTTTCTCATTCCTCGTATGGTTCTTGGAACTGCGGAGCTTAGAGCTCTGATGGAGTTGAAGTCCTCTCTGGACCCAGATGGCAAGATCCTAGCCTCGTGGATCAGTGACGGTGACCCATGCAGTGGCTCGTTCGAAGGGGTTGCGTGCAACCAGAACCAGAAAGTGGCCAACATCTCCTTGCAGGGAAAGGGTCTTTCCGGTTGGCTATCTCCAGCACTGGCTGAACTCAAATGCTTGTCGGGTTTATACTTGCATTATAACAACCTTTCTGGTGAGATACCGCCACACATTTCAAATCTCACTGATCTGGCTGATCTCTATCTCGACGTGAATAGTTTATCTGGAACTATTCCTCCTGAGCTCGGCAACATGGCTAGTCTCCAAGGTAAGCTATATACAATTGTGTTCGTATGAAGGTTTAATGTTACGAGATAAGTTGTTGCGAGTCTTGAGTTTATTCTGTATGAACAAGATGCCTCTAGTACTGCAAATCGCTGGTGGTTATGTAAGTTTCTTGAAATGAACCCAATTGATAGTTGTCCTTTTTTACTTTTTTTTAGTGCTGCAGTTAGGTGATAACCAGTTGGTGGGGAATATACCGACACAGATGGGTTCGTTAAAGCAGCTTAGTACTCTTGCTTTGCAATATAACAAGTTAACTGGTCAAATTCCCCTTAGCTTGGGGACTCTAGAGAAGTTAAGAAGGCTAAATTTGAGCTTCAACAACTTTAATGGTACTGTTCCGGCAACACTAGCACATCTTCAACATTTGGAAGTTCTAGACGTTCAGAACAATTCTTTATCAGGAATTGTTCCTTCGGGTATGTCCCTCTATCCTCCTTTCCTTGTAACGAAGTTAACTTATTTTCCTCGCATTTCTCTTTGTATCTTTTAGTGTATTGTGTATGCTGATTAAAGTTTTGATGATGAAAATGAAGCATTGAAGAGACTTGGGGAAGGTTTCCAAGGTGCAAACAATCCGGGCTTATGTGGAGTTGAGTTTTCTACTTTGAGAGCTTGCAACAAAGATCAGAATTTAAACGTCAACCATATTGATACCTTGGATCGAGATCAACCCAAAAAGGCTCTCCCAGAGCCTGCAAATGTTCAGTTGCATTGTGATCACACCCATTGTTCAAAATCAAGGTTTCCTCAAATTGTCATCACAGTAGGTGTTATAGCTGTTACTCTTACATTCGTATGTGCTGGGTTTTTGACATTCTTCAGATACCGCCGTCAAAAGCAACGGATCAGCAATACATCAAGTTCTTCTTCTCAAGGGAAACTTAGTCCTTACCAGCCTAAAGAGTTGTACACAAAAAGTCCTTCTGCACTTGTTAATATTGAGTATTATAGTGGGTGGGATCATTTGTCTAACGGTCAAAACGCTGATGTCGGTGGGTTATTGAATGATTATCTAACTCAATTCAGGTTTAATGTGGATGAGGTTGAATCCGCAACACAGTATTTCTCGGAAGCCAGTTTACTTGGTAAGAGCAAATTCTCATCAGTTTATAAAGGAGTTATCAGAGATGGTTCTCTTGTGGCTATCAGAAGCATCAGCGTGACATGCTGTAAAACCGAGGAAGCCGAATTTGTAAAGGGGTTGGACTTACTAACCTCTCTGAGACATGAAAACCTTGTTAGGCTGAGAGGTTTTTGTTGCTCAAGGAGTAGAGGTGAATGTTTCCTTATCTATGACTTTGCCACCATGGGTAACCTTTCCCGATATCTTGACTTAGAAGATGGAAGTGACCATGTGCTCGAGTGGTCCAAAAGAGTTTCTATTATCAAAGGCATTGCAAACGGTTAGTTGCTTCTATTTACCTACCTATTTAGGTAGACTTAAATACGCATCACATGTGTTATTGGTCTTGTTATCTTATCAAAATCGGTATTTCATCTCAATAAAGTCTGCCAATTTTAGTTACTGAAATGAAAGCAACAGTTATAAGATGAAATGGTGATTTTGATGGGATAACATCACACAGTGCCTGTATGTATCTAGATTTTTTCCTTACCTGCATTCTCTTGCAGCATACGGTACGGAAGAAAAGTTTCCTGCCAAAAAGAAAATTCCAGGGATGTCCTATATGCAAATGAATTATAAGTGACAAAAAAGTTCGGTAATAATCATTGTCAAGAGAAGACAATGGACGATACTGATTATCACAATTCAAATATTCAAACAATTTAAGACTGTCTTACAATTCTAAAGTTCAGGAAAACTGAATGACACGCAGCATCAAATTTATTACTCTGGATAATATATGTTTTTATGTATGACATTTGCTATTATTCATTTGACCAGGCATTGGATATCTTCATAGCAATGATGCAAGCAAACCTACAATAGTTCACCAGAACATTTCAGTGGAAAATATTCTCCTAGACAATCAGTTTAATCCATTGATCATGGATGCTGGACTACCTAAGCTTCTCGCAGATGATGTTGTTTTCTCAGCTCTTAAAGTAAGTGCTGCAATGGGATACTTGGCTCCCGAATACATTACTACCGGACGATTTACTGAGAAGAGTGACATATACGCATTTGGAGTTATTATTCTTCAAGTTCTGTCTGGCAAGACGACAATAGGTAGTTCAATACGTACAGCAGTTGAGTCTTTCAGATTTGATGATTCTGTTGATGCCAATCTTAGGGGAACGTATTCAAAATCTGAAGCAGCTACACTTTCAAAGCTTGCAATACAGTGTACTCATGAATCTCCTGACCAAAGACCAACGGTGGTGGATGTGATTCAGGAGTTGAGTGTGTCTTCTGCTCATTTGTAATCATATATACTACTGTCTATTGTTACTGGGAGACGTTTAGACACTTCCCGATAGTTGGGTTGGATTTCATACATGCTACTATTTCCTTGAGCTATATACTTTAAAACTAGCCATTGCCAAATAATTGTGGATCTAAATGGATTCCTTTCCTGTTGTTACGAACTGGGATAGTTGAAATATGTTCTTAATTCAGTTTATTTTAAATTACAGTGCTTCCTAAGGTAATGAACTCAGTCCACTCTCGTGGTTTATAGTTGAATAGCTTGAAATACATTCTTCTTGACACTGCGAGAAACTTTACAGTGAGGTGTCTGGTCATACGCATGGAAACTTGTACAATTGAAAAATATGAAAACATAATCGGTTATTGCTATGAATATCATGCAAGCGGCAGTGCTTAGAAAAGACGGCATTTTCTAAGGCACAACCACCCCCCCTCCCTCTCCCAAAAAGAAATTAAATTAATGTTCTAGAGCTTTTCTGCCGCATAATTACTAAGTAATACCTAAACTACGTAATGTTGAAACAAATGGCAAAGTGTTGTTTTATGTTAATGGGTGTGGTATAGTATGTCCCTTCCTAATAATTAGGCAAGCAAAAACAAAATTATCCAATTCTAAGGTTCTATGAAGAGAAAAGTAACATGCAATCACATTACTAAGATGAAACTCATTCCGCAGGAACATTCACAAAAACTTCCGTCGTTGCCGTTCCCTTTTTTTACTGACTACTAACCCACAAGAAGCATTAGGGTTACATGAACGCCCCCATTCATAAATTATTCGTAAATACTTGCTCTTTGAACGACGTTGGGCATCCTAGGCAAAAGCAGCATGCTGTCCATGATCTTGAAGCCATTCAGAAGGCCATGAATCTGGTCTACTAGCTACAACCTTCACATCCTCTTGTCCCTGAATGGACAAGGCACTGGACCCCTTTAAAGCTTCCTCTAATCGCAAGAGCCCCAGACCACGACATCCTAGGACAGTAGTCACTGTACCAGCTTTTTTGCCGGATGTTGTGTTTATTACTTCTGAGCCTGGAATGACTTTGCTTACTAACTCTGGAATACCAGAAAAGGAATGGCTAAGAGTACATCATTATAATAATATATAACGCCAAAGAAGCCATATACTCGTTGTAGGATTACCTTTCCCATCGTTGTCCAGAAACCTTAGAGGAACTATCCGCTTCCGAATCACCCCCCTGTGATGTGTACGAGCAATGAGTTCTTGGCCAACATAGCAACCTTTATCAAAGCTAATTGCATTAAGGCCTGCAAGATTATACTCCAGCGGTACCGCCTCACCTGGACATGATCACAACATATTTGAGACACCGAACTCTGATCAAATGAATTCAACTGAGGATGAGTTTTCACAAGGAAACCAACACACCTTTTGAAATCTCGGTTGATCCTTCAGCCACTCCCTTCTCTATTCTCCACATAAGGAAATTTTGTTCATCGGTCTCTTTGTCAACCTCAATGAGAGGGGCTGAAACAGGTAGAGATGAAGGAGACTCTTATTGACTAAATATTTGAAGATTTGTCACACTAGTACAAAAGATTGCATGATAAATAGACACATTTTGTTACTAGCAGCGAAGGAATAGCTAACTAACGAGTTATATTCGATGGGAAGATCCCTCTGAAACCAAGAGAGGTCAATCTTGGATCCTTGAACCATTGCCACCCACTATCACTCCCATGCGAAGATGACATTGCAGTACTATCCACACCAGCACCCCAGCCAACAGAGGCTGCTTCTGGTTCTTCTACTTGTGAAGACTTCTGGGGAAGGCCATCACCATAACGCTGCCAGCATGAGAAATCACTTGAAACATCATCAATGTCAACCTTTGACCTCAACCGGTATCTGCAGCACTAAAATGTTATGGTTTCCGCTCAGAAATAAGAACCAATAAATCAACAAGGAATAAGATCAACTGCAACCCAAAATCACAACCAAAGCATGAACCAGATTGCTCTGATCACGTAAAAGAAAAGATGCCAAGGCAAGTCAAACGATCTACTATATTCAGAGGCTAAAAAGCTAGTTCATCAGACTTTATATGATGCATTTTCAGTGTAAAGTAACCACACTTTATACCATGCATATGCTGTGTAATACAACCGGTATCTGCAGCACTAAAATGATAAGGTTTCTGCTAGGAAATAAGAACAAATAAATCAATCAGTGTAGGAAGAAGATCAACTGCAACCAAAAACCACAACCGAAGTATGAACTTGCTTTGATCACGACAAAAACAATATGCCAAGGCAACACAAACGATCTACTTTGTGCACAGGCTAAACATCTAGTTCATCAGACTTTATAGCATGCATATGCAGTGTAGCATAACTACGATAAAAGATGCAATAAAAGGGTATATGAAGGAGAAAAATAGAGTAGTAGAGATGGGAATTACGTAACAGGTCCCTATAAACGAGGGACAGAACAGTTGAGAGGAGGTTAAGCGGTCACTAACTAACTGAGACTTTTAAGGACAGATCTAGGGTGCTCTAGAACTCACCTTCTCATCCAATGTGTTCTTTCTGAGATTGCTGAATAAGATTGTTGGGATGTCCAGTTCTTTTCATTGTTTATTTTCCCTAATCCTATTTGATTCTGTCAGTTCTATACCATTCAGTGTCTATCAGCTACAACTTTAAGACAAATGCTATGGCACTAGTTACGGAAAAAAAAAAAACAGCATTTCTTTTATATATGGAAAACACAGATTGTTCAATGCTCCTTAGTGTGTTTGGAAGACTCGTTAGCGGTTAGCACGAGGTTATACTTGGAGACAAGGATTGAATACTAGAACAATTCTATATTCTTCTACTCGTACTTGCTCCTCTTAAAAATTCACCCAATTAATAGAGTTTGATTTCTATGTACTTTTCATCTTAAAACTTATATTCTGTGAATCAATCAGAATCATGGTAGATATTATAACCTCTTTAAGGCCAAGGATATATAATTATCTTTCCAAGTGCGAATGGAAAAAACTACTAAAAATGAATTGCCAAAAAGCAAAAACTAACTGTTAATTGAAAGTTAAGTAACTCCTTTCTCTCTCCCTTCCCATACATAACACAGTGAAGTTGAGAAATTAAGTATAAATCAAAGTAATGGCACGAAAAGAATCAATGATACATAACAGAGCAAATAAACCCAACTAAAAGACAGAAAGAAAGATTAAACTCACTTGTTGAAGGTTTGCAACAATTCATCCAACACAGAAGCATCCACGTCAGCAAACAAATGAAAGGGTCTATCGGAGTTGGACTCAGGAGCAGTGCCGGTGTTATCGAGCTTGGTGTCCCTCATGGGAGGCTTATAGAGAAAGAGGTCGTAGAGGAATCTCCCTTGAGGGGTCAATAAGGCAGCATAAATAGGAGGAACCGACGTAGCAGGCACGTTCGGCGTGGGCAAGTTTTCAGTTTTGTCACCAATGGGGTCACCCAACCTCCGTACATCGTTGGTAAGGAGGCCCTGTAGGAACTTGAGGGTGTCAGGCCCGCGGAACCGTATAACGGAACGGGACTTGAGAAGAGAGCCCAAGGGCCCGACACCTTGGACCTGGCTTTCACAACGATTACCGAAGCTCTTCCAAGTTGTAAGGTGAATGCCTCTGCAACGGTGGGCAAGGGATTTGGGCAATGCTACACGATTCATGGAGATTGGTGATTATGGAGAAAGAAGGAGAAGATGGTAAAGTAGAAGAAGGTGATGGTCAGGCACAAGAGAAAGGAGGTTGGGTTTGGCTGTGTGCGTGGGTTGTTGGACGGTGGACACGTTGCTAGAGATGGATAGGTGTTCGATGAAAGTCGTGTGAGGGAATCCACTCGTCCGCTCCTGACCAGGCTAGACCCTTTACTCGACTTCGCGTGGCTTCTTACATTTATTTGTGTGTACGCTACGTTTTCTAGGAAAATTCTTTTACCCTGTGAAATCAAATATTCTGTAAAGTTAAAAAATACTGAACTTATTGTACAGTTAACTGTTAACTGTTGTTTAGGTCATTCTCTATCACAATTTTCTCCTGCTTTTTACATCCAGTTACATTCCTTTCTCAACTCACCCCGTTGAAAGTTTGTCGCCGTTGAAGGCTCGTCGCCGTCAAAGGTTCGCCGCCGTCAAAGGTTCGCCGCCGTCGAAGGCTCACCGTTATTCCGCACTCTGCCATCGCCGAACTATCGAAAGCTCTATCACCATCGTCGAAGGTTCGTGGCCGTTGAAGGCTCACCGCTATCGAAGGTTTTTCCGCTCTCTGTCGTCACCGAACTGTCGAAGGCTTTACCACTGAGAACACTTCTTCTTTAGCTAGAAAGAGAAGCAAAGGATATCACTCTAAGGTACCAATGTTTTTCATTTCTCTTTCAAATGGGATAAATAAAATTGGAAAAAGATACAGTGTTTATCTTGAAGGTGTAGTGATCCCAGTGATGTAACAGTTGATTTTCTTTTGGATTTTGTGGGAGCTTAAATTATTTAAAAAGATTTGATTTGATTTGCTTTTTTTGGACAATTCTATGAATGAATGCTGTATTTGGTTGAGATGCATGACATACCTTTGTAGAGTTAACTAGAGAATATTACTAAAAGATGTAGTTCCTCATATTTCTTGAATCTGGATTTGTGAATGATGAGTTGGGTTTCAGACATAATAGTATTTCACGTTTTATCTAAACTTTGGAGATATTTTGTGTGATTAATAAATCTCGGACTGCTTCATTAACTTCATTAACTGGTAAAGTGAAGCTTGCACTTTTTTTACTGAACAAAAATACATAGGAGAGGAAGAGCCATGGAACTTACAGAGTAAGTGGTAGAACTTTGATCAGGTTTTGTTGCAGTTGGATCACAAGGGGACCATATATATCATAAATGTATATCACTCCAATCTCATTATCCCCTCTTATTTGGTATTCGTTGCATTCACTTGTCATGTTCCCACTCTCAAAGTCACAATGCCTTTCAATTCCTTCATGAGAACACTTCTGCTTTAGCTGGGAAGAGAAGCAAAGGGATATCACTCTGCAACCCAAAGTACGAAGGTTTTTCCTCTCCCTTTCAAAAGGGATAAATAAAATTGGAAAGTGATACATTTTGGTGTTTGTCTTGAGGTTGTATTCATCTGACAAGGATGAGTAATAATTTGCTGTGAGATGCAATTTGGTTCATTGTAAAGGAAGAGCAAGAGTGGTATGCTACAGTTCAGTGGTAATAAACAAAGAGGGAGAAAGATGGAATGGCATGGGAGTGAGTAGAAGTGATATTAAATAGCCAAAGGGAGAGCAAAATTATTTGTTTTTTGGTAAAGGGAGAGTAGCATTGGCAGCATATTTTGGCCAATGGAGAGCAGTATACACAACATTTTTTATTTATAGAAGAGAGTCAGTCATGATTCAGTAGTTTTTAGGCATTGATTTGTATGGGGTTACTTGATGGTTTTTAGGCAATGGAGTGAGCTGGGTTAAGTCATTGGGCTTTGAAGGAAAAAATGGGCTTAAATTCTGGGATTATATTGTGACTGTCAAGCTTTTAAATTGGTATAAAACAAGTTCAAATAAATCTTAGAGGAGAAAAGTTTCTTAACTTTAACTGTTGCATTGGCTTTGTTTAAAAACAAGAAAGTTACATTAGTACTTCAATGCTTTTTTTCTCTGTTTTTCTTATATTTGCAGACATTTTCATTTATGAAGTAACATTTAGAAGTATTATAATTAACTGAAAATAGTAGAAGCACTGAGATTTGAATGTGCATTTGGTTTGGGTTTTGTTGAAAGTTGAATTGAATAATGAAGGTAGGAGAGTTTGCTGAGAGTTATCTCATATATAATAGAGCAGATTATAATTAGTGCAGCTCTCTGCAGAATTAAATGAAGTCAAAGGGGAGTAATGAGATGAAACAATGATAATATGAAAATGGTGTGGGCTACATAGGAGATAGAGAGATGTAGTGCAACAGATTGGAAGGTATATATAGTGTTAATGTGTATGTTTTCTCATTGTGATCCCAGGAAAAGCGGATATGCAAATGTGTTCATTAAGAATCTTGATGCATCAGTAGATAACAAGGCATTGTATGACACTTTTGCTGCCTTTGGAACTGTGCTATCTAGTAAGGTAGCGGTTGATGAGAATGGTCAATCAAAAGGGTATGGATTTGTGCACTTTGACAATGACGAGTCTGCTCAGAATATCAAAAAATTGAACGGCATGTTAATAAATGATAAGAAGGTCTATGTTGGGCTTTTTGTTCAGCGTCAGGAAAGGGCTCCAGGGAATGGATCACCAAAACCAATGTGTATGTGAAAATCTTTTCTGAAACATAGACTGATGAAGACCTCAGGCAACAGGCTATGGTTTTCAACCTCATGTCTTGCCACAAAGCATGCGTGGGGTTGCTCCAAATTTCATTATGCCATACCACCTTCAGAGACAGGGTTCTCCTGGACAAAGGATGGGTCCTACTACACGAAAGGTTGGAAATACCCAGGTGATCATCATACTATAGTTGTATTCTTCTTCATACAAAATATTATACATACTGATAAATTTGAAATTTTGAAAATAGGTAACTCTCAGCCATTCACTTCCAATACCACCAAATGGTCCAAATAGCATACATAAGTATGTGCCCTATAATTTGGTGGGTCCATCTGAGATTTCTGCATCTCCTCTTGATGTCAAGACTTCTGCTACATCGTCGACTACACTTGCTTCGGCTTTGGCTTCTGCAGATTGGAAGGTATATATAACAGTAAGCACTTCTATAAGTTGAGGTGTTATATTTTACAACTTATTTAGTCAACGATGTAGTTTCCATGTTCCATGTTTAATTCTTCATATTGCTTCTTGGCTATTTTACTTATTGAGAACTTATACATGAGTGAACACCAAAAGCTTCCTGCTATTTTACATTTGAAGTTGAATATATTGATAAGTGATAAGGGTAGCTAATATTTGTTTCACATTACCACTTATTGATTCAATTAGTTATCTCTCTATTGGACATAGAGTTTTTGCTTTTATGTTTATGAACAACTTAGTCACATTACTTTTTGAAAACATGATTTCTATAAAATCAGTAGTATAGCATTCAAATAACAACCTTTCTGCAGAAAAAGCAATATAGTCAGATTGAACAAGATGGGGGACTTCAGGAGGGGTTTAATTAGCAATGCCCTCGTGATGGACTTGCAATTGAGGATCCAAAGTCAAGGGGAACTCATGAGTTTGATCCATCCAGACCATTGGACGTGCCTTCTGTTTTTGATGCAAACTCCATTAACCTGTTGCAGCTGGCTGAAATTATTAGGAGGCTTAATGAAGAAGAGTGTCAGTTTCTGATTGAGGCAAGAGGAGTTGAGTCCGATTTGGAACTGCAAAATCATTTTAATGCTGCCATGGCTGAGGTGGAAGCTCTTTCTGCCAGAGTGGTTGAGCTGCAGAATAATTTTGACATGTCTCAAAGATTCACTGGAATTATCCGAAGAGTTAGCTGATTACAGAGTCTTGATCTCAAGTTTAAAGGTGGAAAAGAAGGGCATGAATGAAACTCTTGATTTGACAAATGATGAGAAAAGTATAAACTTTTGGAGGAGAAGGAATTTCATATATTTGAAATTAAGAATCTGGTATCTGAATGCTACATTCTTACTTTAGATTTAGCTCTGGCACTGTTTAGAGTACTTTTAATTGCCAGTGATAACTGTTAATTCTGATTGCAGTTAGTAGTGCATGGTTTATATAGTAGAAGTGTCCAATACTTGTGCCAAAACATTCCATGTTAACTATACTATATGTAATTAATTTAAAATAAAATTAAGATGATTTTTAAAAAAAAAAACAATAGACGGAATTAATTTAAAATAAAATGTGATCCATTAAAATAATTTTAGTTAAATATTAAATTATAAAAAAAGTTATACTATTATTAATTATTTATTTTTTAATTATAGTTTTTATTAATGTTTTATTTAGATGTTGTATATTTTCTTCATTAATATTATTTTTAAATACTTTATATTTCATTAGTACTACTGTTATTAAACTTATTATTATCATTAAATTATTATTGTTATTATTTTATTATTATTGATTATTAATTATCAAATATAAATAAAAGGTTGAAATTTTTAAAAAATAACAGTCATTTGATAATTACATTCTTTACCTCTCAATCCTCTTATATTAGGAAAATTATAACCTCACATCTCTCCAAATTTTTTTTCTTAAATATCTATATATTCCTTGAAACAAACAAGTATGTTATTCTCATTTATTCTTTCACAAATAGTAAATATGCTGAAAAAAAAAAAAAACATAGCCTGATGTTATTTTTTTCTCTTTCCTGTCTTCTCTTCTTTTTAAATATTTGAAATTGAAATCATCCCCCTGTTATTTGTGTCAATCAACCTTAGGAGTTTGTGTAGGTTTTCTAAATAATATTGGGTAATTTATCCTACTCACTCCTCTCTTTAATTTTCATTATTTTCTTATAAACCTATCATGCATTGCTTAGGGCTTGAGGTTAATTTTAGTGTAATTGATGAATATTTAAGGTGACCATTTTTTTTGGAGTTTCTCATTTCCTATATTAATATAAATTATAGTTTGACAACATTAAAATTGTGCAATTTAAAAAAAATTATTAAAATTGGGATTTTGAAAAAAATTACAATAGTCAATAAATTGTATCAATTTTGTATAACTTTATTATGAAAAAATCGTATCAAAATAACACTGCTTTAATGTATAATATTTTAAGTTAAAATCGTGTCAAGATAATATGAATTTAGTTTAATGCTTTTTAATTTAAAATTGAATCAAAATGATATAACTTTAATTTAATTTTTTTTATAAAAGTCATGTCATACNGACTTCGCGTGGCTTCTTACATTTATTTGTGTGTACGCTACGTTTTCTAGGAAAATTCTTTTACCCTGTGAAATCAAATATTCTGTAAAGTTAAAAAATACTGAACTTATTGTACAGTTAACTGTTAACTGTGGTTTAGGTCATTCTCTATCACAATTTTCTCCTGCTTTTTACATCCAGTTACATTCCTTTCTCAACTCACCCCGTTGAAAGTTTGTCGCCGTTGAAGGCTCGTCGCCGTCAAAGGTTCGCCGCCGTCAAAGGTTCGCCGCCGTCGAAGGCTCACCGTTATTCCGCACTCTGCCATCGCCGAACTATCGAAAGCTCTATCACCATCGTCGAAGGTTCGTGGCCGTTGAAGGCTCACCGCTATCGAAGGTTTTTCCGCTCTCTGTCGTCACCGAACTGTCGAAGGCTTTACCACTGAGAACACTTCTTCTTTAGCTAGAAAGAGAAGCAAAGGATATCACTCTAAGGTACCAATGTTTTTCATTTCTCTTTCAAATGGGATAAATAAAATTGGAAAAAGATACAGTGTTTATCTTGAAGGTGTAGTGATCCCAGTGATGTAACAGTTGATTTTCTTTTGGATTTTGTGGGAGCTTAAATTATTTAAAAAGATTTGATTTGATTTGCTTTTTTTGGACAATTCTATGAATGAATGCTGTATTTGGTTGAGATGCATGACATACCTTTGTAGAGTTAACTAGAGAATATTACTAAAAGATGTAGTTCCTCATATTTCTTGAATCTGGATTTGTGAATGATGAGTTGGGTTTCAGACATAATAGTATTTCACGTTTTATCTAAACTTTGGAGATATTTTGTGTGATTAATAAATCTCGGACTGCTTCATTAACTTCATTAACTGGTAAAGTGAAGCTTGCACTTTTTTTACTGAACAAAAATACATAGGAGAGGAAGAGCCATGGAACTTACAGAGTAAGTGGTAGAACTTTGATCAGGTTTTGTTGCAGTTGGATCACAAGGGGACCATATATATCATAAATGTATATCACTCCAATCTCATTATCCCCTCTTATTTGGTATTCGTTGCATTCACTTGTCATGTTCCCACTCTCAAAGTCACAATGCCTTTCAATTCCTTCATGAGAACACTTCTGCTTTAGCTGGGAAGAGAAGCAAAGGGATATCACTCTGCAACCCAAAGTACGAAGGTTTTTCCTCTCCCTTTCAAAAGGGATAAATAAAATTGGAAAGTGATACATTTTGGTGTTTGTCTTGAGGTTGTATTCATCTGACAAGGATGAGTAATAATTTGCTGTGAGATGCAATTTGGTTCATTGTAAAGGAAGAGCAAGAGTGGTATGCTACAGTTCAGTGGTAATAAACAAAGAGGGAGAAAGATGGAATGGCATGGGAGTGAGTAGAAGTGATATTAAATAGCCAAAGGGAGAGCAAAATTATTTGTTTTTTGGTAAAGGGAGAGTAGCATTGGCAGCATATTTTGGCCAATGGAGAGCAGTATACACAACATTTTTTATTTATAGAAGAGAGACAGTCATGAATCAGTAGTTTTTAGGCATTGATTTGTATGGGGTTACTTGATGGTTTTTAGGCAATGGAGTGAGCTGGGTTAAGTCATTGGGCTTTGAAGGAAAAAATGGGCTTAAATTCTGGGATTATATTGTGACTGTCAAGCTTTTAAATTGGTATAAAACAAGTTCAAATAAATCTTAGAGGAGAAAAGTTTCTTAACTTTAACTGTTGCATTGGCTTTGTTTAAAAACAAGAAAGTTACATTAGTACTTCAATGCTTTTTTTCTCTGTTTTTCTTATATTTGCAGACATTTTCATTTATGAAGTAACATTTAGAAGTATTATAATTAACTGAAAATAGTAGAAGCACTGAGATTTGAATGTGCATTTGGTTTGGGTTTTGTTGAAAGTTGAATTGAATAATGAAGGTAGGAGAGTTTGCTGAGAGTTATCTCATATATAATAGAGCAGATTATAATTAGTGCAGCTCTCTGCAGAATTAAATGAAGTCAAAGGGGAGTAATGAGATGAAACAATGATAATATGAAAATGGTGTGGGCTACATAGGAGATAGAGAGATGTAGTGCAACAGATTGGAAGGTATATATAGTGTTAATGTGTATGTTTTCTCATTGTGATCCCAGGAAAAGCGGATATGCAAATGTGTTCATTAAGAATCTTGATGCATCAGTAGATAACAAGGCATTGTATGACACTTTTGCTGCCTTTGGAACTGTGCTATCTAGTAAGGTAGCGGTTGATGAGAATGGTCAATCAAAAGGGTATGGATTTGTGCACTTTGACAATGACGAGTCTGCTCAGAATATCAAAAAATTGAACGGCATGTTAATAAATGATAAGAAGGTCTATGTTGGGCTTTTTGTTCAGCGTCAGGAAAGGGCTCCAGGGAATGGATCACCAAAACCAATGTGTATGTGAAAATCTTTTCTGAAACATAGACTGATGAAGACCTCAGGCAACAGGCTATGGTTTTCAACCTCATGTCTTGCCACAAAGCATGCGTGGGGTTGCTCCAAATTTCATTATGCCATACCACCTTCAGAGACAGGGTTCTCCTGGACAAAGGATGGGTCCTACTACACGAAAGGTTGGAAATACCCAGGTGATCATCATACTATAGTTGTATTCTTCTTCATACAAAATATTATACATACTGATAAATTTGAAATTTTGAAAATAGGTAACTCTCAGCCATTCACTTCCAATACCACCAAATGGTCCAAATAGCATACATAAGTATGTGCCCTATAATTTGGTGGGTCCATCTGAGATTTCTGCATCTCCTCTTGATGTCAAGACTTCTGCTACATCGTCGACTACACTTGCTTCGGCTTTGGCTTCTGCAGATTGGAAGGTATATATAACAGTAAGCACTTCTATAAGTTGAGGTGTTATATTTTACAACTTATTTAGTCAACGATGTAGTTTCCATGTTCCATGTTTAATTCTTCATATTGCTTCTTGTCTATTTTACTTATTGAGAACTTATACATGAGTGAACACCAAAAGCTTCCTGCTATTTTACATTTGAAGTTGAATATATTGATAAGTGATAAGGGTAGCTAATATTTGTTTCACATTACCACTTATTGATTCAATTAGTTATCTCTCTATTGGACATAGATTTTTTGCTTTTATGTTTATGAACAACTTAGTCACATTACTTTTTGAAAACATGATTTCTATAAAATCAGTAGTATAGCATTCAAATAACAACCTTTCTGCAGAAAAAGCAATATAGTCAGATTGAACAAGATGGGGGACTTCAGGAGGGGTTTAATTAGCAATGCCCTCGTGATGGACTTGCAATTGAGGATCCAAAGTCAGGGGAATTCATGAGTTTGATCCATCCAGACCATTGGACGTGCCTTCTGTTTTTGATGCAAACTCCATTAACCTGTTGCAGCTGGCTGAAATTATTAGGTGGCTTATTGAAGAAGAGTGTCAGTTTCTGATTGAGGCAAGAGGAGTTGAGTCCGATTTGGAACTGCAAAATCATTTTAATGCTGCCATGGCTGAGGTGGAAGCTCTTTCTGCCAGAGTGGTTGAGCTGCAGAATAATTTTGACATGTCTCAAAGATTCACTGGAATTATCCGAAGAGTTAGCTGATTACAGAGTCTTGATCTCAAGTTTAAAGGTGGAAAAGAAGGGCATGAATGAAACTCTTGATTTGACAAATGATGAGAAAAGTATAAACTTTTGGAGGAGAAGGAATTTCATATATTTGAAATTAAGAATCTGGTATCTGAATGCTACATTCTTACTTTAGATTTAGCTCTGGCACTGTTTAGAGTACTTTTAATTGCCAGTGATAACTGTTAATTCTGATTGCAGTTAGTAGTGCATGGTTTATATAGTAGAAGTGTCCAATACTTGTGCCAAAACATTCCATGTTAACTATACTATATGTAATTAATTTAAAATAAAATTAAGATGATTTTTAAAAAAAAAAACAATAGACGGAATTAATTTAAAATAAAATGTGATCCATTAAAATAATTTTAGTTAAATATTAAATTATAAAAAAAGTTATACTATTATTAATTATTTATTTTTTAATTATAGTTTTTATTAATGTTTTATTTAGATGTTGTATATTTTCTTCATTAATATTATTTTTAAATACTTTATATTTCATTAGTACTACTGTTATTAAACTTATTATTATCATTAAATTATTATTGTTATTATTTTATTATTATTGATTATTAATTATCAAATATAAATAAAAGGTTGAAATTTTTAAAAAATAACAGTCATTTGATAATTACATTCTTTACCTCTCAATCCTCTTATATTAGGAAAATTATAACCTCACATCTCTCCAAATTTTTTTTCTTAAATATCTATATATTCCTTGAAACAAACAAGTATGTTATTCTCATTTATTCTTTCACAAATAGTAAATATGCTGAAAAAAAAAAAAAACATAGCCTGATGTTATTTTTTTCTCTTTCCTGTCTTCTCTTCTTTTTAAATATTTGAAATTGAAATCATCCCCCTGTTATTTGTGTCAATCAACCTTAGGAGTTTGTGTAGGTTTTCTAAATAATATTGGGTAATTTATCCTACTCACTCCTCTCTTTAATTTTCATTATTTTCTTATAAACCTATCATGCATTGCTTAGGGCTTGAGGTTAATTTTAGTGTAATTGATGAATATTTAAGGTGACCATTTTTTTTGGAGTTTCTCATTTCCTATATTAATATAAATTATAGTTTGACAACATTAAAATTGTGCAATTTAAAAAAAATTATTAAAATTGGGATTTTGAAAAAAATTACAATAGTCAATAAATTGTATCAATTTTGTATAACTTTATTATGAAAAAATCGTATCAAAATAACACTGCTTTAATGTATAATATTTTAAGTTAAAATCGTGTCAAGATAATATGAATTTAGTTTAATGCTTTTTAATTTAAAATTGAATCAAAATGATATAACTTTAATTTAATTTTTTTTATAAAAGTCATGTCATACCAACGCATAATTTGAAATATTTAACACAATCTTAGTTTTAAAAGTGATTTACGTTGTTATCTCATGACCTTTTCACATTAAAGTTATGTTGCCTTAATATAAATTGCTTATTTTTATAATTTGTTAAAAATTACCTATTTATGAAAAATTATTTTTAAAAACATTACATCGGAATAGTACTCTTGCTTATAGTTTTCATATTACAACAAAATTATTTAGAAAGGAGAAATTAGCTTAATTTAAAAAATTATTTATTGCATATTTGTGTCTTTAAGTTGTGGATTTTGGTATAAGATTTTTTTATATTAGAAATGTGGAGTAAAATATTTGAATATGTAAATAATTGGCGAGTAGAACATGTGAGGATATTTTAGGTTATATCGGATTTTTATAGAATAAATGAACACTTGTACTTTTAAATGTATTTTCTATGCATTTAAAGTAAGGATATGTTAAAAAATTTAAAACCTTTAATGTTAAAGTTAGGAGAATTAATGTTGAAACTAACAAATTGTTGTGTGAGAGATCTTTTAAGAAATTTTATCAATGATAAGATATACCACTTAAGCCAATATAAAAGATTATCACCATTTATAATTTAAAATTTTAAGGTGATGAGATATTGGATTTTGTTATCGTTGAATCTCTCATCTTTATTTAATATGAAAGTAGAATTCATACTAGAACTTTTTAAATATAAGTATGTGCTGGTATAGATACAACAAGTATTAATCTTAAATGCTTAACTTAACAATGTATTTTATGTGTATTGAAGTTTCATTATTATTATTTGAAGGTTTAATACATCATTTGGTCCTACTTTTAAGGGTTTGGTTTCAAAGTAATCCCACTTTTTAAAAAAGTTCAGTAATATTTCATATTTTGTTAAAAATGTTCAATCCGATCATTTCTCCTCATGCTCTTAAAAACATAAGGGTACAAATGTCACCCCTGCCACATCATCATCACCATCTCCAAACAAATTCTAATTTCTCTCCAACGTCACTGTCATTCTCACCGGCAGTCGTCCTCTCCAACACATCACGCGCCACCATCAAAGTGTCTTCTCCCTTCTGTTGCACCTCTATCACCTTCACATCTCACCTTCGTTCTCGCGCCACCACCCAACGCGACCCCTTGCTATGCTGCGATCACCCTCGCACCAGCCAAATCGTCGTCGCACCAGCAGCATTGTCTTCCAATCTCCACCACATAATCGTCCACCACTAACCACTAGCCAAATCGTCAGCTGTTGCAGATTGCGAATCGCCACTCTTCTCCACCACTAATCGCGCCGCTGCTTGCCTCAACCTGTAACCACAATCAGACTTACAAGCAAACTGTGGAGACTTAGGGTTTCTCGCGTTCTGGTCACATAGCTTTGGTGGTGGCATGTGATGCGTTGTAGAGGACGGCTGCCAGCAAGGATGGCGGTGACGGCATGATGCAGCGGCTAGGGTTTCTTGGAGAGAAATTAAGGTTTGTCTAGAAATGGTGATGATGACGTGACAGAGACTTTTTTTTAAATTAAAAAATAATTTAAGTCCACCTATTTTTCGGATTAAACATTTTTTAACGAAATATGAAGTCTTACTAAACTTTTTTTAAAAGATAAGATTACTTTGAACCATACTTCTATAAGTAAGTTATTATTATGATGGTTATATCTTGAACAATAAATATTTATTACGTTAGATCTAAAATTAACTAGCAAAATAAATTTAATAATTATTTACAAATGTCATCAATATTTATCTTTTATGACCGACGAATTATATCTGAGTGGTTCGATAACGGCCCGACAAGAGTGTAATAGAAATGCCTAAAAACAAAAAATATCATTAGAATAGACTCTAAATATGATTCTGATATTATATTAGAAAGTAAATTTAAACCATAATTCAACCCACAAAAACTGATTTATAAAAAAAAATTTACACTTATTTATATATTATAATTTAACCTTATTTTTAGAGTTTTCAACATAATATTTATTAAAAAAATGTCATCAATATAATGACCGGTGAACTGTATTTATCATAATAAATTTTTATTTTTAACCGGTATCGATTGAATTTTTTTAAATTATTGTTGGGATGATTATTGTTTAAATAAAGATAATATTAATTTTACCGAAGCATTTATTAGTGGAGGAAGTTATGAACTAATTTGGGAAGAAGTGATTCTTTCCCCAACACCTTTTTCTGGTTTTTTCTGGTGCTGATAGAAAACCAGTGGCTGACAAATTTAGTAGGTAGGTTGTGTTGGGCAATGTGAGTGACGCGTAGCATTGTTGTTTCTGTTTGAATTGAAGACTATCTTCTTCCTAATTAATTTCATTTCTTCGTAATTAATTTCATTTCATGGTAGTAAATAACTGTATTCATTTTACAACAACCAAAGGGATTTGCATTATATGTGTTTGCATGCATCTGTCATAAACACTGACACAGCATTAGTGCATTACTACCACCACTCACAACCACAAATCCACAGAAAACACGTTACATACAATAATAATACTCGCTTCGCTACTTTCAAACCTTGTTTTTGACTATCTCACTGCTTTGCGTATGGATCAGGTACTCTCTGTCACCACAACAAACCTTTTCAACTCATCTAGCTACTGATACACTTTTACATTAATTTAATATAGGTTACTGAAAAAAAATATAAAATTTTGTATTGTTTCAAAAGAAAAAATAAATAAAAATAATATTAAATGAATGTAAAATATTTAAGTGTGTCAAAAATTTTTACTCATAATTCAAAATGTGTTCCTATCTATATTTGGAAGAATTGGAAGAAAAATGTTTATAAAATAGATAAGAAAATAAAGTAAACAAGTTCAAAAAATAAATGGACAAAAAGTTAAAGTCAATTTAAAAAAAATTATTCATAATTAAATTGTAATTAAGTTAATATTAATCAAAATTCATTTCAAAACTAATAAATAAAGATTTGAAATAATAAAATAGACTAAATATATTCACTCTCAAACATGATTTTAATAGTATCGTTTGTAGATATTTTTTAATGATTTAAACGAATATAATACTTAGATTTCTAAATGTTTAGATTTTGAAAGACACTTTGAACGGTTGATTCGACCCATATCAAGTGATAATTAAAATATTATTTATTATTGCTATTTGATTTAATTGTATTTCAGTGTTGAAATCCAAAAAGTAATTGTTTACTCAGAAAAATAAAGTACTACGTTGAACCAAATCCATGGTTTTTAGCAGATTATAAATATGAAGGGAAGAATATACTAAAGGTACGGATGAGGCCGGTTGTTATAACAGATTAGGTCAACAGCAAAAAAGTGCATGATGATGATGATATGTTTGATGATAGATAGACAAAAGAAATTAAGGAATATAAATATTATAATTATTTAATATTGGTGAATT